ATCTTACAAATAGCCTTTCACATTCAATGCTTAACATCTTTGTTAATGGACTCTAATTTCTGTATTGAGAGCAATAAAATTCAAACAAACAGGATGTAGTCTCAATGGTGCCAAAAAAAAAGAAAAGAAAGAAAGAAAAGAAAAGAAAACTCTGCTTTCCAAACATCAACTATTCACTGGATCTAGGAGGTAGGAGGTGGGTGATAGAACAGAAAAGAATGTTTTCATTTACGAGAAAAGTAAATGACTCACACAGTGGTGGTAAAAAGAGAACTGGATGAAGAGGGGGAGCAAGCCACTAAAATCTCAGTATCAGGCATTCTATTCTACCACCTTACATCTTTTCCTTTCATTTATTCTTTATTTCAATGATCCTTCAGTCCCACCTACCAAAACCATCTCATTTTTTCCAAGTCCATTAATCCCTTTTGACCACACTCCTTTCTTTCTTAACCAGATTTCACAGCCATCACTATTATCACTCCACTGTACATGATCTTTGTCTCCCTTGCTTCTCTCTCCAACTGTTGTACTCAACTGCTACAGCTCTGATGCTGGTTAAGTCCGGAATCTGTGGGCAACAATTTTGCCAACTTTCTTATCTTCAATTGATGACCACAAATGTCAGCACAACCAAGCAATCCAAAAACATTCTCTCCCCAATTCAGTTTGTCAGTCTTTGTTTGGAAAGAGAAGAGAAGTTGTGAATTGTAAGACACAATTGTGAGACAATTCACACCTTCTTTTCTCTTTCCAAACATCCAACACCCAACCTGTGTATCACTCTGAAGCGATGGCCTCACTTATAATTTCTCTGAGAAAGTGGAAGCAAATTATCAAGAAATCTACCTCAACTTCCCATTACCAACTTTGCCCATTGAGTGCCTTGGAACCCATATCCTTTCCTTTTCCTCTTTAAAAAAAAAAAAAGCTGAGGAGTTTCCTGTCCTGTTCCTAAGGTCAGCCCCTCTAATTGCATACTGATTCCCACCTGCTCTCATCCATTCTAAGGCTTATCCTGCAATTATCCCTTCTTTTGCCTGCATCATTGTCTTTTTCTTTTTCTATTGAGTTATTCCTACCACCACATGGGCTTATTAAAATGTCTCCCATCTTAAATAAAAACTTTCTCATTTCCCCAGGCTCCTTTCCAATTACTTCCTATTTCCTTCCTTTTTCTTTCTTCTTCAATGATAGTCTATATATGTTGTCTCTATTTCCTAATGTCACGTTCTTTTTTTTTTTTTTTTAAGACAGAGACTTGCTCTGTCATCCCAGGCTACAATGCAGTGGTGTCATCATGACTCACTGCAACCTCAAACTCCTGCACTCAAGTGATCCCCTTGCCTCAGCCTCCTGAGTAGTTGGGACAACAAGCATGGACAATCATACCCAGATAATTTTTTTATATTTTTAGTAAAGACAGAGTCTCACTCTTGCTCGGGCTGGTCTTTTCCTGAACTCATTTTCAATCAGGACTGCATCCCACCACTCCACTTGAAAAACTAACCCCTGTGTTACCATGTCCAGTGGTGAATTCTCAGTTACCAGTTTACTTAACTTCCCAGCAGTAGATGACAAGGTTGATCATTCTGTCTTCCAAGAAATAATTTTGTTCCTTGACTTTTAGATCACCAAATTTTTCAGCTTTCTCCTTCTCTACCGAAATGAGGATTAAGTTATCAACACAGGAATTTTAGGGGACATTCAGACCATAGCAGTGTCTAAAACAGTACCCGGCGCATAGGAGACATTCAGTAAATATCTATTAATATACTGAATGGTTAATAGATCTTACGCAATGATTGGGGAATCATGTCCTCTTTATGTCCAGTAATTTCTTTATCTTAGATAGTCTAACTCCAGAATCCCATTTCTTAGATTATCCTACTTTATTTTTTAGTTTGCTGCTGTATGAAATCTACTTTGTTTACTATCATCACCCATGGCAATCTGGAGGGGAGAAATCCTATTTATCTTCTACTCATTATTTTAGGTTAGTCAAATATATAAAGAAACAATCTCTCCAATTACTAAAGTCAAGAACAAAACAATAACTTTAGATTCTCACCTTGCATGGGAGGATGAGAAATATACCCTCTTTGCCATACCCTCAGCCCTGACCACCATCAATACTTGTTAATTTAGCTGTATACCACTATTTATCTTCTGTCATGTAAATATTCTAAACTAGATACATCTTTTCCAAGAATAGTAGCTTACCTTGGTGTTCAATTTCCATGGTCGTATTTTTAAAGTGGGTTTTATTATCATACCCGTGATATGATATCATAGCCAGTGATTATCATAACCAGTCCAATCTTTTTTATATTATGACTTTGCTTGAGTTCATTATTAATATCCAGCTATCACTTAGTTGGAGTATGTCTTCAAGTAGTTCTCTGAGAAAGGAAACACCAAATCTGAGTGCATGCATATCTATAATAATTTTTTACTTTGATACATGAATAATTACTTGATTATTATCCTCAACACCCATCCAACATTGTTCTAGTATCTTTGTATATCTAATGCTTTAGAAAAGATTATGTCAGCCTGGTTTTTCTTCCTATTATACATTCCTTTCCCCACCCCTGTCTACACAGCTCATTGTACTAACCAATATTAAAATTCTGACATTAATATCAAGGTAGCATCTTTGTTTTCTTTTTCATTAACTTTCCCTCGTATTTGGATGCCTTTGCTCTATCAGCTCCTCATCCTCCATCTAAGGAAAGTCGTCTTCTATCATACATCATGATGGTGATCCTAGTGTTACGCTTTCTTCTTCTGGAAGCTTGAATATTCTCCATCTTGACTCTCATTTACATTTAACACATTTTTTCCAGTGCATTCTGGAGAGTTATTTTATCTAATTTAGTATAGCTTTTCAATTGAAAAATAAAATACAAGTGTATTTTAGTGAGTTACAAAGACACATCAAAGACATTCCAATCCTCTTGAGTACAGTCTGGTAAGAAATAAGGCAAACATACCAATGGGCATAATGAAAGATGGAAAATATGGTTACAGATAGGTGAAAATAGAGTCCATGGGAAATTAGGGCAGGAATGCTTACCTCTGGCTGTGAGAGGTAGAGAAAGCTTCCAGAAGAAAAGTTCAGTGTGAGTTAGAACTTAAAGTGGTTTAGAAATGTAGTAAGGTCACAGTACTCCAAGCAGAGAGAGAGAGAGTAAAAGCGTATAAATAAAAGCAATGTGGTAGGAGAACATAAATGGGCAGAGCAAGCAGTTATTCAATTTGCTGGAAGAAAGGGTGTATGAAAGTAAATTGCAGCACCTGTATGGCTGACCTCTCCACTGAGACGTCTAGAGCATAATTCCACCCACAGCACAAGCCTGCTCTTTTCTCAGTCTTCTACCGGCCAGTTGATAGAACTCTAAGAGTTGTCCTTGACTTCTCTATTTCTCTCATAATTTTACTCCAATTTATCAGCAAATCCTGTTGACTCTACTTCTAAGACACATCCTAAAACCATCCTCTTCTTTTCTTCTTCTCAGAACACATCTGAAATCCAAAGCCGTGTTTCTTGCTCCAACTGTTGCTGTGCCTTCCCTCCTGCCCCGCTTCCACTGCTGTCTTCTTATAATCTTCTTAACACGATGACAGCAACCAGAATGATCTTCCTAAAGATTAACTCATTTACATCACTCCACTGCTTAACACCCTACAAATGGTTCCCTTCACACTTAGGAGAAAACCCATGTTCCTTACTTGAAAAGGCCCTACAAAATTTGCCTCTCTGTCCCATCTCTCCTCTGCCCTATCCTCCCCAACTAGTCTGGCAACAGAAGTTTCCTTTTCCTGAATATGCCAATATTATTTCTGCCTTAGGGCCCTTGTGCTAGCTATAATCTACACTGGAAATGCTAATGTGCTTTAGCCACACTGCATATGGCCAACTTCTGATCTTCAGATGGCAGTCTAAATGTCACCTCTTCAGAGGCGTCTTCCCTGATGATTCAATCTAAAGTAACTATATAGTTAGTCATTTGCTATTACATCACCCCATTTTAACTCTCCACATACTGTAGCTGTCATCACTATTAGATGTTTTTGTATATGTTTATGTTTACTTCTCTAGAAATAAACATCCCCTAAGGATGAAAGCTATATTAGGTAATTATTTCTCTAGAAATAAACATACTTTTACTTACATGCTTTTGCTCTCTCTCTCTGCTTAGAGTAAATTTCGCTAGAAATCAACATAAACATATACAAAAACATTCCTATCTCTTTCACTAGAATATTAAGAGCTGAGACTGAGCATACCTTTCAACTTGGAACTATGGTACTGAATGAAAAAATAAATGCTGAATTCAAATCAAGATGGAAAGTTATGTGGGCCCTTGAATCCCAAGATAAGGAAGTTGGACTTGATTTCAGAGGACAAATGAAAGGATGCCAAGGTTTTTGAGGTGGAGCTAGGAAGATGCAAAAGACACTCTTACCCTCGAAGAATTTAAAATGTATAGATAAGTCAAACATATTCCTAAAAAGAGAAGCTGATAATACAAAACACTGTATGTGTTACAAGCATCAAATGAACTGACATAAAACAACTGATGCTACCAGAATTTGGCTGAGGGAGTGTAGGCTGGGATTGCTGGAGGCAAGTTAGAACTGAAGAACCGTGGGACATGTCCAGGCCGAGAGATGTTAGGCAGGCAGGAAAGTAGTGGAAACATAGTTAGCAGAGGCGGAAATGTGTGTGAGGAGCACAGGCACAGGTACAGGGAGTAGATTCTGTCCAAAACTAAGACACATAGAAAGAAGCTTTACATGAAATTGTTACCAATGGCCGTTTTATCATAAAAGCGTAGGCCTTAAATGGAAATGCTTGCCTCAGAGGCCAGAAACTGAAAACCATACCTAGATTATAAGTATGCCCATAAAATTATGAATTAAATGATTTTCTATTTTCTGGCAAACAATTTTGAATATTAATTGGTATTTCTTTTTCTTTTCATTTCCCACAGAGTTGCCACCCCATTTGGAGGTTTTGAAAAAGCATCAAAAGTAGTTAAATTCAAGGTTCCAGATTTTGAGCTACTACTGCTAACAGATCCTAGGTTCATGGCCTTTAGCAACCCCCTCTCTGGCAGACGGTCCTTTAATAGGACTCCAAAGGGATGGATATCTGAGCATATTCCTATAGTGATAACAACTGAACCCGCGGAGGATGCCACGGTACCAGAATCAGAAGACCTATGAAGAGAAAGTTATACGTGCACAGAAACCTCTGCATAGAGAAATTGCTGATCACTATTCTGCTTACTGTCAAAGCCACTTAACATTTTTCACTAGTACCAATAATTTAACAGTAATTTAGCAATTTTCTTTTCATGGCATTTAATTTCCATCTCAGTTCAAATACTAATAAACAATTAGAAATCTTCTTCTAATTCACTTGTCTTCATTCATACTGTTGTTTTCACCTGGGTTAAACAAGCCACACTTTTTATTGTGAAAGTTCAGACAGAAAAGTAACTGACAACAAAAGATTTCCCCTTTGCTTTACTTAAAATGATTCACCCAAGATGACATTTTGAAAGTAGAATTTAGAATCAAAACACAGTGCAAGGTATACACTCATTCAGAGTTTCCCCTAAGGATGAAAGCTATAGAAGATGATGTGCATATGTTACTGATGGAGAAAAGGGCTGGGTGTGTCCTTTCTGGTGGCCATGATAAAACAGTATGTCAGGACATATTTTCATCAGGCAGTCTTAGAACTTCAAAGTGCTTCATATTTTTCAATATGTTCTGAAACATTAGGTAATCATTTTGAATGATTTCCTCCAGAGTTCAGCTGGGTTATCATCATATCCTTTTAGTATTAAATCCAGGAGACTGAGAGACAATGACTTGAGGGATATCATGCTATATGACTCGAGATCATATCATGCAATGACCAAGGTGTGCTCAGAATTAAAGTTCCACAAACCCCAATACTGTGCACTGGTTGGGGCTACTTGATTTATGCATTTTTAGAAGACTAAGAACAAATACAATACACAGCAGTGTACATATAAATGTATATGGGTGTGAGAGAAAGGAGAGCATGTAATTCAAATTGGCAGCTCTGTTTGCTAAATTTTAACATTCTGTTCAAATCCTCAAGTACAAGAGAGTGCACACTATAAAACACAAACTAAAACAAGAAATACAAGAGCACAAAGGATCCGAAAGGAATGCAGCACCTATCTATACTGATATATGTAATAAGTGGATTTAAAAGACTCAACCTAAACTATTGCAAAGTTACAAATGTCTTTTAAAATATGATTAAGGAAGCATGTAACATGGAACTTGTAGAACAAACAATTCCTCCCATTTCTATTCAGTTAAGAGTTGTGTGATAGGCTCGGCGCCTGTGGCTCAAGTGGCTAAGGCACCAGCCACGTACACTGGAGCTAGCAGGTTCTAATCCAGCCTGGGCCCACCAAACAATGACAACTGCAACCAAAAAATAGCCAGGCATTGTAGCAGTGCCTGTAGTCTCAGCTACTTGGGAGGCTGAGGCAAGAGAATTGCTTAAGCCCAAGAGTTGGAGGTTGCTGTGAGCTGTGGTGCCACGGCTCTACCCAGGGTGACAGCTTGAGACTCTGTCTCAGAAAAAAAAAAAAAAAAAGAAAAGAGTTGTGTGATAGACGTTTAAAGAAGAGAAGAAACTTCTTCCCCATAGGAAACTGTCTACAGATTAATTTAAGGAGCTAGGAAGGACAGTGTAATGAAAATGTCAAGTAGCAACATTATATATGTTCAGAAAAATCTGTGTATGTAGTGTAGGAATCAGGGATCGTTTTGATCATCTTATGAACTTGTTAAGTAGAAAAATTTTTTTTTAATTTTTTTATAAAAAATATAAACCCTAAAAGTAGCAGTGGCAAAATATTACATTTGTATATACTGTTATGGCTGAAGATTTGTATAACTTAAAATGTGTCTTTAAGACATCTTAATTTTAGTTTTACATTTTGATGTTTACCTATTTTAAAATAACAGTGTTGGCATCTGTAGTAAGCTCAACTTCAGAGGCTCCTGGTATGCTATTTTTTAACTCATTTTAATCTTAAAAAAAAATTTGATGAAATGGTTTAGTTCTTTATTAGAATCATGATATGAGTCACTGCTTTTAATGAAACTCAAATTTTATTGCATTATTTCAAGCATCACCAAACTCCTACTATATGATTGGTGTGACCATTCTGCCACGCACCGAAAAGGGGGCCAGCAATCAAATATGTTAGCTGTAGAACAGTACTCCCCAGTATCACAAAAGCCTTTTTAAAAAGGGAGAATCATAGGTATTTCTTTTTAAAAGATTGGGTAGAAAGAAAAGAAAAACCTTTTGTTCAGTGTCGTATTTCTTTCTTTCCTGGAAGTGTCTATTAATTTAGTTCAGCTGACACTTTTGGAAATGCCAAAATTTCACTCCAGTTGTTACACAATTCAGAATTCAAAAGGAATTTTAAATGGGTTTTCCATTAACTGGAAAAACAGTTCAATTTTTCAAAGTGAGAAGAAATATGACAGTCTCCTTATAACAAAAGAAAGACTGTGGCATTTTCTCCCATCTGCTTTTGTATATATGAAATATAAGGAAAAGGACAAAGAAAATTAAAAGAAAAATAAAAGAATGAAAATAACATTTGTTGATGAAATACTAAATTTCAGGCTCTCTGCTCATTGCCTTATAAATTATACTGATTTATTTAATATTTTATTTTCACAGTAATTCTATAAAGAAGGAATCACAAGTAATCTCAATTTTATATTAAAAACACTGAGCCTTAGAGAACTAAAGTGACTTGAAATAAACCTAGCTCATAATTGGAAGAACTTGGGAAGTCTGGCTCTGAAATAAGGGTGAAAATATAATTCACCCTTAAACTATTTTATAACATTTAGACAAAATATTATTTTAAGAAACCTCTTCATTATCCTAATATTGGGCAAGTAAAACTATACACTGAGTCAATTTTAGAGTTACTATCCAAAGTTATACAGGAATTCATAATTATAAAAAGGCAAACCTTCAGACTGTATAAAAAGCAATGTAAAAGTCATCTAAATAAATCAAGAAAATGTATATGTTTACTTATTATTTACTTTTTAAGAGACAGAATCTTATTCTATCATCCAGGCTGAAGCTCCTGGACTCAAGAGATCCTCTTGCCTCAGCCTCCCAAGTAGTTAGGATTACAGACAGGGACGTGTCACCATGTCTGGCTAACCTTTAAAATGTTTTTATAGGGATGGGGTCTCACTGTGTTACCCAGGCTGGTCTCGAACTCCCTCAAACGATCCTCTTGTCTCAGCTTGCCAAAGTGCTGGGATTTTAGGTGTGAGGCACTGTGCCTGGGCTGCATAGATATTTAATCTTGAATTAGAGAAATGCAAGAGTGTACTCTGATTGGATCCGCTCATCTCTGTTCAGCATTGTACACTCTTTGTATCGATATAATTTTCCCTTTCCCCCTATAAGGAGAAAGAAAAGAAAGAAGGGGAAAAAAAGAAAAAGACACTAACAACCAACCATGGGCTAAAAGAAATTATCTAGTGTAATAACATACCAAAACCATTCCTTCAAATGAAAACATCTTCTACTTTTTAAAACTTTAGAGAAAACTCCCAGTTTCCATTCTGTACTGTGCAACAAACTTCTGGGCCATGAAATTACAGCTCCTATTTTCTTTAAGCCAATTTCCTCTTCTCTCATTGGTAGGACTGATGATCAGTTGTCCAACTGTCCTCTACCTAACAATCAGAGCTATGCTGATTATAGCTATGGCTAAAAACTGCATCCTGGGCTTTTAACTCTGCTTCTTTTAATGATTTCTCAAAGTGAGTATTTTCCATCTCTTAATACTTGAAAGGGCTTGATAATTAAAAATAACTAATTATTGGTTATTATGAAATCAAACCAAATACTGGCAATAACTTTTAGTCAAAAGGACCATTTATTGTATCCACTTAACATTTTACACTTTCTAAATAGACTCATTTATAAATGTTTTAACAGCTTCTGAGTGGAAGCCAATTATTTTTGCAAAGGCTAAAACGGAGCAAAATGTCCAGTCATGAGTATGAAAAGAACACCCTGAACTTTTCAACTGAGGGCACAGCTGTACCAGCACAGTTATTAATTCAGGAATTTCCTCACTCCATTGCTTATGCAAGATACAACTTCCATGACATCATTGTAGCTTTTCAGCCACCACTGTCCTCCATTAAATTTAGGAAAGTATTCCTCTGAATGCTCCTTTTCTTATGAAAAATACTTTTGCCTTCCACGCTCTTCTGTAGGAAGAAGGGCAGTTCACTTTCTGTGAAAAGTGGAAATGTGCCAGGCTGTGGCCAACAGAATAAGCAGGGGGCACCCGTTTCAAACTAACTGATCAAAGCACTTTGCAAGTACATCAAAGAATTGTTCAAAATGGTAATGTTTTTTTAGAAATTGAACTTTCCAGAACTAAGAAGAAACGGAGTAGAACTGTATCAGCATGTCAATGGCTCCACTTCAAATCTTACTAAATAAAAGTGGACGTCCTTATTTGAATATCGCAAATGGAGAAACTAGATGGCAACCCAGGATGAAAACTTCTCCTGGCTTCTCAAAGGAATGTGATTTCAACAGGAAAATCTAGTATATGCGGGCAAAGGGGAGGGGGGAAGTATTTTATTTAAAGAGGTTATAGTTCAGGATGAAATAAGAAGGTGCTTATTATTCTGTAGTGTGTAATATTTTGGAACATAGTTGAATAACAACTTAGGCAGTAAAAAATGTTTCAAGAAATAGGAATGACAAAAGTTAGAAGGGAATGAGGTAAAGTCAATGTCATTTCTTAAGTTCAAACTGCTCATGGAAGAGCCAGTACCGAAGCTGTCTCGCTAGCCAAATAAATACAAAAGACAGGGGGGGAAAGAAGTGCCAGAGGGAAGGAGGCTGAAAGGAACTACACCGGGGCTATACAAAAGCTCATTGTGATATCTGATGATTTCTGAAGCCTTTTTCTTACTCCTTTGGAAGTAGGTTTTTTCTACATATACAGAATTGCTTGGTGTGAACTGTCACTGAAATAGATACTCTGCTTACATTTATCATCATTCCCAAATAATGTATAAAAGCCATTATATCTAGAAGTCCAAGCTTCAAAGAAAGAAGTTTGCGTGCTGATCTACCACAAATCAGTAACATAATTTCAAGCTATTTACTTTACTCTAGTGTTTCCCAATTATGTGGGTCTTTACAAAAGTTTTGAGATACACAAAAATCAAGAAAAGTGAAATCCACAGGGTGGCAAGAAACTAAGTCCTCCCGCCCACGCGGTATCGGAGACCTGAGCAAGCTGAAACTTGCACTGGTGAATCCGAAAGACCCGGTGTTTCTTGGAAATGA